GCTGTTGAGGTGCGTCTCCCACCGTTTAAGGGTCTGTCGGAGTTTCGCCCGCTGGATGAGCTGTGACACAGTGGCAGGGTCTAGGCGACGAGGGGCAGCACGTTTCTTCTGTCTCTGCATCTCTGCATTCAGGTCCTCCCAGAACTGGTTGAGAAGATCTATGCACTTCAGGTTCCTCCGTGGTTCCCATGTGTTGCTGGATTCTGGGTAGCCCTTCCATTTCACCAAGTATAACTCCTATGAAGGGGGTAACAGGGATGGTAGCAGTGTTAATTTCATTCACGAATAATTTTCGTCAACGACATTTTTTCACCGACGACAACGAGACGATACCGAACTAAAACTCTTTTTGAATGACAAAAACCATGACGTAAATCTATTGACATTTTTGTCTACGAATAAAAACGAGACGAAAATGTTAGGGAGGTACGATTTGGGAAGAGATTCATTCAGAATGAATCTGCTGCGTGGCTCGGAGGTTAGATGCGTACATATGAACCGGCGGGACATGAGCTAACATACACTTGCTGCACGTCGCATAAAACGTTCAAAAATGTCAATATGTGGGAGTAAGAGAAGAGAAGAGAAGACATATGGATAAATCTGACGACGCAAGAGAGAACTCAATTCGGTCCGGTTTTCTGAGCGCACTTAAGCATACACACGGAAAGCACGTCTCACATCGTGCGAGTACTCTTTCGCGTCGCATGAACGGAGAATTACACTCACAGGCTGCATCCGAAAACTCTCAAATGCTGCCTTTGGAGGCAGCATTCCAAGCCAGGAAGGCATCAAGGCACGTCTGAATCCAAATTCTGCTTTACTTCCTGTCTCCGGAGTTACCTTCTTCTGATCGAATTTTGAAGGCAGCATAGATGTATCCTTCGCTGCCTTTGATATCCCACAATCCTGTGCGTTCCATTAAATTAAATATTCGTTTAGTTATCACAAAAACTCGTTCTATTTTGTTGTAGATCATTAAACCGTTACGCTGCCTCAGAAGCCTGTCCGAAATCAGTTTCATGAGGTGTCTTCGTGCAAAAACGCTGCCTGCAAAGTCATTGCCTCATATGGCAGCGAGGCAGCAAGTCAGCTGCCTAAGATTTCGGATGCAGCCACAATTATGTCCAATTGTCCGTTTTGACGAGTATTCACGTAAAGTTAATTACGTCTGAAGTAAACGTAAACAGCAGGGAGAACGTGTATCAGTACATTGCATCCATTGCATCCGGTTTTAAAGGGATAGCAGCCTAATTTAGTTGTCATTGGCGTTAATCAAGCAACAACAGAAAGACAGAAAATCACACACTGCTCTTGACTGAAAAACTTTAGTAGACCTAAAGATGAATCTAAATTTATTTATAGAAATAAATATGTCTGCTTGAAAGAATGAACAACATGATAAACAAGTTGCTATAAAGAATGCATAATTAGCCTATATAACCATTGGTATTTCATTAAAAAGAATACCGTGTTCTTGTTCTTTATGAGAAGTGGTTTTATTTAATTTTAACATGAAGGCATGTTGTGTGTCACCGCAGTTAAATCAGTGTCTATCATAAAACCTTAATATCAAACCTATATAATGAGTTTGGAAATTTTAGAGAAATGCTTAATAAATGCACTGTAACTAAACCGATTTGATTTTAGACGACTAAATTTACTGTAGATTTAGTCGACAAAAATCTTATGATATTTAGTCGACTAAAACTAGACTAAAACTAAAAACAATTCAGATGACTAAAATGTGACTAAAACTAAATGGCATTTTAGTCAAAAGACTGACTAAAACTAATCAAAATTTGCTGTCAAAATTAACACTGGATGGTAGTGAGCTTAAACACATTTACACCTGCGGCCAGTGGCATAGACACAGCCACTATGTTAAGACTGTCTTAAGAGCTAGTCTGACCAAGTAACGGTTCGTCAAAGGGTCAATCAGTCTAATTTTTTTGGGTTCAAATTAGATCAATCAATTTTTTAAGTACATTTTTATGTATATTTCTCCTGATTCAGACAAGATTACTTTTTCGCTGAAGTAAGCAATATTTTGGATAGAGGACTAGAATTTTAGTAAAATGCAACAGTTAAAAAAGTGTCTTGATGAATTTGTTAATTGCAAACACAACTTTTCTCTTCACAAGGCGTTAATTGATGGACTGGAGTCTTGTTGTGGATTATTGTGGTGTTTTTATCAGCTGTTTAATTAAACTCTCATTCTGACGGCACCCATTCACTGCAGAGGATCCATTGGTGAGCAAGTGACATAATGCTACATTTCACCAAATCTGTTCTGATGTAGAAACAAACTCATCTACATCTTGGATGGCCTGAGAGTGAAGACATTTTTAGCAGATTTTCATTTTTCGTGATTTCTTTAATGTAATCCTAAAATACCCATGAATATTGTTCACACTAAGGTTCAGAAATTGATGGACTGGAGTCTTGTTGTGGATTATTGTGGTGTTTTTATCAGCTGTTTAATTAAACTCTCATTCTGACGGCACCCATTCACTGCAGAGGATCCATTGGTGAGCAAGTGACATAATGCTACATTTCTCCACATCTGAGGGTGAGTGAATTGTAAATTGTCAGCAAATTTTCATTTTTGGATGAAAGATTCCTTTTGAAGAAAACAACTCTATGAAAACTAACTTGAAAGACTAGTCTAAGCAGTTTACGCAACGGATCACCTGGATTCATTTTTGCTTTGATAAAACTCATTTTACCCATCATGTAGTAGAATTTACTTTGACATGAGTACATTTATGAGCCAGACTTTTAAGCCCACCTGTATTGTTTGTCTCTTGCCATTGGTGATAACTTTCTTTTTGTAGTCACAGAGATATTCCACCTCATAATCGCACAGGTTGTGCTTGTTGATGCCCAGCTCATCACACTTCACCCCCTGCTCTCGACAGATCACCTCCAGCTGGCCTTCAGTAGCGATGCATGCTACCCTACAAACCTGAGCTACAAAATACAATTAGGTGTTCATTGCAGGAAAAACAGAGAGATAAAATGTGGGATGACAGACATGTGTGCAACTTTAGATGAAGAACTACACAGCACTTGAGCAAATAGTTGATGTCTTCATGCCTGTAAACCCGAGGTTTGCAGAGAATTTGAGAGCAATTATTCTTATTATTAAGCTTTTTAACTCAGGGAATAAAGCTAATAATTCAGCTTTTCCATCAGGACTACATTACATTTTAAAATATACTAAAACAGTTATTTTAAATTGTATTAATATTTCACAGTATTACTGGTTTTGCTGTATTTTTGATCAAATAAATGCAGCCTTGGTGAGCAAAATAAATTCCAAAAACATAAAAATACAAAACAATTACAGAACTCAAACTTTATTACATTCAAGATTATTTTAAATTTGCATTGTCTCTATCTAGGAATTCACCACTGTCTGCTTATTCTAACTAGCTGTATGGTTTAATTTCTGTTAAAAGCCGTTTTGGACTTATATTTACTATGGAAAGTGCGATTCAAATAACTGTAAATTAAATCGACAATCCTATACTCTAATATAGGCAACAAAAAAAGTGTTGCCAACTTGCAAATATTTTCCAGATATTTTAAAAATATTTATGACATAAGATTACAATGGCAAACAAAAGCCAATAATTTAATTTAGGACATTAACAATTAGTTGATGTTATTTTATCAAACAATTTTCTGATCAAAGTGTAAATGAAAATGCATATGAAAATATGACATGAAAATATATATAACTGCTTTTATATTATAGAAAGGGGCTCCCTGACAAGGAAATTATCATAGTAGGGGGTATTTGGCAATAAAAACGACGCAACAACACAGAATAACACACACAAAATCATTAACATATTGTACAGATAACTTGATCATTTTGACAGTGTGAGATAAAAACAAAAACTCACATGCATCACCACTAACCTATGGGCCATTTAATAAACTGCCTGAAGACTAATCGTCATAAGCTAAATGAACAAGAGATTCAGTGAACCTAACTTATACGAAGTATTTAAACAACGACGTACGTATTAGATTAACACGGTGCGGGAGAATTTTAAGAATGTGCTTTTTGATAAAGTGTCCAGTTATCAAGCATGTTGAGTAAATTACATTCCTCAAGAGGACGTAAAAGTTAGCTAAACACTGAAGATTACGCTAACTACTGAGCATGCACATTTTTGCACCTTATGCTACGTTGTACAACTTTACAAAGAAGAAGACGCAAGAGAAACAGATTAGTTACGGGCGGCATTCACAATGAGCTTGTTGAATGTGTTGAATGTGTTGCATGAGCGCGCGGCAGCCTTAACATCGACCTAATGTGAATTTGTATCAACAACTTGCAGCAAAGATTCTTCCAAAACTGGGTGTTTGTTTCCGGGGGTTCTTTGAAAAGGTACCACTTAACTAACAACTCGTGTAATACATAAGACATGTAACAGTTAAACCTTTGTGTAAACCTTTGTTTCTGAACGTTTAACACGATATATTCTTACCTTTCAAATTTTCCGCCATCTTCCGACCGCCGCCAAAATTATAGGATGGAAGGGCCGCTCGATGATTGGACGCAGCGCAGCCTGAGTGACGGTTTGGGCAACCAATAGAAAAAAAAAACTCGACGAACCGTTTATGGGAAGTTTGGACCAAGTGGGGTTCGTGTATGAAATCAGATTCATGTCTTTATACGTGAGCTTAACATATGGTACATGCAAGTTTGAGCTGTCTCAGTTATTTTAGCTTCTCATTTGCTCATTTATATCCTTTGTGATGGTTTACAAAATCTGAAGAGACCTTTTATGTAGTCGGAACATATGTTATTATTTTTTATGTTACAATTTTTATAATACGATTCGTGGGGCATTACAGGTTATAAATTGTGTTGTTCTATGGAACAAATAAATAACGATATTTCACATCACATCATGTTCTTTATGTCTATTATGTGAAGTCTTTTAATTTGCCTTTCACTGTTTGTGAAGGCGGGCCGTAGAGTTCATCCAGCATCACGTGACACAGAAAATACTCCTTGAATTTCCGGAGAAAGTCTGTTTGATGGTCGTTTATAAATATTACAGGTGCGTATATGCATTTAGCTTAAACATTTTACTTTTCAGACTTAATTTCCTCCCTCGCTCTCTCAGAATACACAACAGAGAGGGGAAAAGGCCTAAACTGTGGAACTGAGACCGGTGTCTTGTCAGCTTCATATAACTGCTGCATAAGCCACTGAATACACAAAATGATTATGAGCATATTATTTAGGCCCTTCACGAATAAGCCTTTTATTAGATGAGTAGTCTTGTTTGCTTACATTTGATTATATATTTTTTTTTAATCAAAAAGTACAGGTTGACCCATTTCAGTTCAGCCTTCCCTTGAACAATAAATGTTGAATTAAATGATGTTTGTGTGCAGGCATCATGTCATCCAGCACTGCTCAAAATCTCTGGATAGCAGCTGTCCTTCTGGTGTTTCTTGTTCTCATAGACGTGATTTCATTCGCATATGCAGATAAAGTAAGTTTATCCCTGACACATATCCATTACATCTATGTTTTCAATATTTTCCCAAATGTGTCCCACGTATGTAAAATATTTCCTAAACATGTCACTTTCTTAACATGTTGCTCACACAGAGTTTTGAAGATGTGCGTTGCAAGTGTATCTGTCCACCCTACAGAAATATCAGTGGACATATCTACAAAAAGAACGTGTCCCAGAAAGACTGGTGAGACAGGCTACCGTACTAGGGACAATTTGACAAAGAATCTGCATTGTCTGTAAAGGATATTGTGTATAATTAAATGAATTGTCTGAAACTATTTTCATCTAGCTGGGAATTTATTGTTAATGTATTGTTTGTAGTAACTGTCTGCATGTGGTGGAGCCCATGCCAGTGCCTGGCCATGATGTGGAGGCCTACTGTCTGCTCTGTGAGTGCAAGTATGAAGAACGAAGCAGCAACACCATTAAGGTATTGAGCGACTTCCAGTAATCAATAAATCCTACTTTGAATTAAAGATGTTTATTAGAGTCTGCTTTTATGCCTTTATAATCTAGTTATCCACTTTAAGCTGAATTGAGGAGTATTAATATTTTTATGTATTTCCCAGGTGACCATTATAATCTACTTGTCAGTGGTTGGAGCTCTTCTGCTGTACATGCTGTTTCTGCTTCTAGTTGATCCTCTGATCCGCAAACATGATCCGTACACCATGCCACTGCAGAACGAGGAGGATTCTGAGGTTTGTGCACATTTGTACTTTTTTTTGCAGAGATGTAAACTAGAGACTTCACTCTTCATAGACTATAAATTGACTTGACTTGGATTTAAATGAGAGATTTTGGGTCTAATACGTCTTTCACACACCCTCTGTCACAAACATGACGACACATTTTCTATTGAATGCATATATACATAACAAAAAAGTATTTTTTTTTTAATTTTTTAGTTAAATGGTCGTTCATTCGACAACTTGTAAACTTGCTATTTTATTTTACCAGTCTTCACTGTCACATGGTCCTTCAGAAATCATAACATTCCGATTTGCTGCTCAAGAAACATTTCTTATTATTGTCTTATATTACTGAAAGGGTAGAATTTTTCATAGACTTGTGACAAGAGTTAGACAGAGTCATATAATTTTTTTATCACTTTTGTAGATACTGTGCTTGAGTTCATAAATATTCTTTCTTGGGTTTAGGTATTAATTGTGTCCTTTGTCTCCTCCTACAGGATGTGAGGCTGCGTGTGGATGGTTTACACGGTCGTGGAAACACTGTGCTGGAGAGGGTAGAGGGAGCTCAGCAGCGCTGGAAGAAACAGGTCCAGGAGCAGCGCAAGACTGTGTTTGACCGCCACAAGCTGCTCAGCTAAGCCCTCAGACAGACTAGCTGCGAAAAAAGGCTAATGGGTACCACTGACTGAGACAGCTTGCATGGTGGTCTTATAGTTTCAGCTTTTATGACAATATGTTTTATCAGTGGGCCTGCATTATCATTAGTATTATAATCTTACCAAGACTGACTTGATTCTAGCTTTCAAACTGAAGCTGTGACCACATAAAGCAACTTGTTTAGTTTGCTTGCTGTTAACATAAATTAAGAGAATCAGCCAGCTCCAGTTGGTCTCACACCTACATTTTTCACCCAATAACTTGAATATATCGGAGCTGTCACTACTTTGCTTTGAAATAGCATTGCAAAAGATGGGATTACATGGAAAGCAGTGTAATCTGGGAGTATTGATGTGGACCTCTATATAATATAGATGCGCTTATGAATGTGTAGAGTGTCATTGCACTGTTGTAGTTTCATTTTGAATTACCAAGAAAATGTATTGAATGATTTCCATTCATGTAGGTATGTATTTATTTATTTATTGCTTGTTTGTCTGTTTGCCAGTTGATAATACCATTTAGGATGGCACTTGTCACAAGCATGTCTTAAATGTCATATTATAATGAAATATTTAAAAATGTGTATATTCACAATAGTGAAGGGGCTTTAAGTGATCAGCACTGTTGAATAGTATATCATAAGCTTCCTCTAATGTGATTTACACTTTTGTTGGATTTTCTGATTTACAGACATCCCAAAATATTGATTTTGCACCTCAAAATGTGAAGGAATTTGCTTTATTATATTTGCTGCTCTAATGATTTTTCCAGTATGTATCCCAACAACATGTTTTACAGCTGAAATATTCTTGCTTATGTGAAAATGCACTGATATATTAAATATATAAAGAATGTTGTCAACTTTCTTTGTAACTTTTTATTTTTTCTAGGTAAAATTCACTGAGTAACACTCACTTCCTGTGAGTGTTACTCAAAGTTTGACACTAAAATACAATGGTTATGTTATATATTTAGTTAGAAATTGCCTAAACTGGATCCTGTAAACATTCCCATCTGCTGTTTTGTACAGTAAATCACCAAGGGGAAAAGGCAGGCATATTTTAACACCACTTATGTATCCTATTCTTCATATTTTCAAATTTTCAATGTCTTATTTCATTTGTGGTGTTGTATAAGCAGCTGAATTTCTCTTACAGAACCTTAGTCATTCTCTTTCTTCATCTGCTGCACCCCAAGGCTTCCTATACCCTCCTCCACCTGCCTCCACACCCCCAAGAATGGACACTGACTGCCCGTCTATATATATCCCTCAGAATGGGCCATCTGCGCCTAAATGCTCCCTACCCCTCCAATGCCTCCTTGTCTGGTGTAGGTTTGCAGCAGGGGCCAGGGCCAAGAAGGTACACTGTGCCTTCTCAGAGAGGGCGAGATGGTGGATGAAGCTTAGGACCATACTAAAGATCTGACCTGAACTTAAGAAGACCAAGGATTTGCTAAACTAGGAATCATTTCAGGTTTTGGCTCTTTTTTTTGTGGGAATTAAGAAGATTTCACGTTTAGGAGATCCAAAATGGAGTCAGGAGGTGGCGGCGGTGGTGGTGGGGTGGCAGCTTTGGCCTCGTTCATCATGAATGAAGACGAACTCAAGAGAAAGCAAAGGGAGAAACTCAAGAAACTGCAGGCCACAGGAGGAAACCCTCGACCTCCACGTTCCTTGTTCTTCTTCACGCTCAAAAACCCTTTCCGGAAGACCTGCATCAACATCGTGGAATGGAAGTATCCTTCAAACTTACATCCATTTTGTTTCCATAGTTTTAGACTGTGGTTTGATGTTTGTTTAGTTTTGAAGCATAATTGAGATGGGCATTATTTAGAAAGGCATCCATCCCCCAGAGAGCTGGTTTAGCATGCATGCCAGAAAAAGCACGCAACCATAACTCGGATCTGTTTTACTCAGCGTCTTATGTTCAACAAAACCAGATTGAGATATTTGCTCCATCTGTGAGGTGGAGAAAATAAAAACAGACACAGTTGTTTTTCATAATCCCCAGGTTTAGTGTGTCTTAAAGTGTGGAAATCTGTCTCAGTTGTGAACTGAAGGTGTTAAGCTTTTGTTATGCGTCAGACTCACCACGGTCATTTGGAAGCAGTTGGATCAGGTCTTTACACTGAAGATGATAAGGATGAACCCCAGCCTATTCACAGTCAGCAAATATACTATTAATAAGACTTCAAGCTAATGTTAATTGACTCAATTTACAGTTTTTATTTTTTTGGCTTCATAGGGTTTTTAGCTTTTAGATTGACCATTTTGTATATGTAAATATGATTAAATGCACTTTTGAAGACATTTGAATACTGTAAGAATCTTTAATAACAAGTTCCTAAATTCACAACAAGAATAAAAATCAACTGTGCTGCAGTTCAGAAAAAGTTGGAAGCGGCTTCTTAACTTGTGCTTTGAGACCACCCTTGAGACAAAACTGACATATACAGCAAACATTTGCTTTATGAAGTGAAACTTTCAGTTCCCGATTAGTTCATTCAGTAATTGTAATACAAATGTAAATCTGAATTGGAGATTGTCATGTAAAAGTGTTTTGGCTTTTGTACAGAGGTGAATAGGAAATGTAATTTTGGAGCTCTTTTTTTAATAGATGTATTTATACAGTTTAATGATATTCTGTCTGTGTACAGCTGTTGTGTGGGATCACTAGTTGACATGATGCTGAGCTGGCAGGGAAATTCTGATTCCACCCCCTAGTGGCAGAAATTCACTAATAATTACAGTTAGTTGGAGACTGCCAGTCATGTAGTTTAAACTGAAACAGCAATAATTGATGATTATAATATTTCTTACTGGACATGAAATCCTATATTTATTATATATTCTATCCTAGTAAATGTTTACACTGAGGTAAAACCATCTTTACTAGATGGCTTGTGTGTCATTGATTCTAATTTAGTTACTGACCAGATAACTACCCAAAATCTCTCTCGTTTCTTTAGTCACCAAAGCCACTTTTACTTGTATTTGGCACTGGGCGACTGTTAATTTTTGTTTAAATCTGATTTATGCAAATAATTTTCCAATGGTTGTTTTTGCCATGTCTACCCATTGTTTTCCTGAGCAGACTCCCTCAGACCCTTTGAAATCATTATCCTGCTAACTATCTTCGCTAACTGTGTAGCTCTGGCTGTGTTTCTTCCCATGCCCGAAGAGGACATCAACAACACCAACTTAACATTGGTGAGATGTTCTTAAACTACACTTACCATTGGAGAACATACATGTTAAAGGAATAATCTCTAAATACATGTCATTTGCAGTAATACATCAACTAATTTTGAAAACAAAAGTTACTGCAGGTAGCTACAAAAACATTATGGTACTGCAATTGCAAGGATGAACTGGATTAAAGGGATAGCTATGTCATATTAGACACACCTCATGGTGTGTTGCCAGAGAATCTGAGATACTTAAACATGTCCAAGATAAAGTGTTCAGATTGTTGCCTACTCAGGTTTTGGCCCTTGGGTTGTGAGAGGGACGTATTTGTTTTGAAACTGATACGTGTGCGCTAACATTTTCGCCCAGTTGGCGTTTGCACAGGACAAATTTGTGATTTGCATAAATAAGCTCTTATGAGTTTAAGTTAAATAGAATTATGGGTTTATATACAATGAATGCAATTTAGATCACGTTTTACAAACTAAAAATATACCATGCAGCAGGTGCTGTTTTGTGTCATGGGTTTTATATTTAGTCTTTGATTTGAGATGTGCATGTCCAAAGCTGCAAGTTTGGTGTTTATAAATACACTCAAATCTCAGAAGGGGATTTTCATGACGCATCTAATGAGAAATTAATATAGATTCTATTGACATGACTGTTCTGTTCCACATTGAGGGTCCACTGCACAATTGCAGTGGACACAGAACTTTGCTGTTCTGCTCTTTTTATATGTGTAACCTTTTTTGTTTCAGCTATATAAACACTTCTATAATGATAAATCCTCTTATTTCATGACTCAAGCTTTGACGGTATGTAGGTCACACACTCTTTCCACTAGCATGTGCAGTCATATTCTCCTCTCTCAGAACATAGAGTGTTATTACATTTCAGAGGGCACAAATCTGAGACCCACTCACTTATTTACTCCCCTGGGTTTAGTGACTTACGCCGGTGGGCCATCCATTCCTCAGATACTAAGTCATGAAACAGGAGCTGAGAGTGGGTCTCAGTAGACATGGTCAGAATGAGGTTGATATGGCCTGTTAGTGTAGAATGAGAGGCTGTGTGCTGTGTAAACATACTGATTAGATCCTCACTGCACATTGAGGACAGTCGTTTGGTTTGGCAAAATGTTAAGGTTCAGGTTTCAGTGGCACCTTGCACATATTTTTTTAGAACAAATGATCCATGCGATACAGTTGACAGTGTGTCGAAGCTGCTAAAAACCCTTCTAAGATATAAAGTAATTTTAGGATGTGGAAACTACAAAACATGAAGAACAAGAAAGTTGAAGAAAATGTCTTGTAGGTTATAAATTCTTAATGTTAAAATACTTTCTCCCAACCCAGCTTAATATGCAGATATGGGTCTGAATTCAAATAAATAAAGAACGAAATAAATGTTTTTTAACTCTGAATATGTATCTTGCAGTTCTCAGAATTGTGAGGGGGAAAAAGTCAGAATCGTCACTGTATCATGTTTTACACCCCATTAATCCCTCCTATAACATTGTTTGTTTCCTTGCAGGAGAGTCTGGAGTACATCTTCCTGGTCATTTTCACTCTTGAGTGCTTCCTAAAGATAGTAGCGTATGGGCTCCTGTTCCACGAGGGAGCCTATTTACGAAATTGTTGGAACATACTAGACTTTGTCATTGTGTTCATGGGGTAAGATGACATTTAAAATGTCCAGAAGTCATAAACAAAACACCCTGAAATGATTCCTAAAACTGTCCTGAACTCAATTCAACCATAGATTTTTTTTCTGTAGAGTTTGTGTAGTGTTAATAATACAATAAAAGCTGGCATTTTTTAAATGAATTGTTTCACATTTCTTAAATAATAGTTATTTTAAATTGCCTCCTCAGGCTCTTCACACTTGGTGTGGACACCATCAACACAATAGCAGGAGTTCCCAAAGAGAAAGGAGGAGGGTTTGATATGAAGGCTCTTAGAGCATTTCGAGTCTTGCGACCGCTGCGGCTCGTATCGGGAGTTCCCAGTAAGACTTTTAAGCACCACAAGTAGGGCAACATAGGACTTTAAAGCTAGGTCCTTAATATACCTTAATATATAACTTAATTTCTAACAAACTGAGGCAGTGTTGAGTGAAAACAGATTAAATAGGTGCTTACAGAAATGTATATGTGAACCTGGACCACAAAACCAGTTATAAGGGTCAATTCAAAATTAAGATTTATTTTAGATTTATACATCAATATAAATAAGCTTTCCATTGATGTATGGTTTGTTAGGATAGGACAATATTTGGCCGAGATATAACTATTTGAAAATCTGGAATCTGAGGGTGCAAAAATATCAAAATATTGAGAAAATTGGTTTTAAAGTTGTCCAAATGAAGTTCTTAGCAATGCATATTACTAATGAAAATGAAGTTTTAATATATTTACAGTAGGAAATTTACAAAATATCTTCATGGAACATGATCTTTACTTAATATCCTAATGATTTTTGGTATAAAAGAAAAATCTATAATTTTGACCCATACAATGTATTTTTGGCTATTGCTACAAATATACCCCAGCGACTTAAGACTGGTTTTGTGGTCCAGGGTCACATATAT